TTATGTTATAAAAAAATTATTTCTTTTGATAAACTCTCAGAGGCAGGGCGCGCACGCCTATTTTCAACGTTAAATTATCATTATAAATAATGGAGATGAGTTTCGGGAGTCGGGACGTATTATCGGAAATTTTCTCCTCATTAACGAGCTTTTTTGAAAATTGCTTAAATTTAATATTCTTTAAGTTATTAATGAAAAACTAAATACCATTTTTTTAAATCTTATTTTGTTAATAACAATTGCAATTTTTTACCTGCACCAAAATCCTTCAAAAACATTTTTCTAGAGGTGATTCCGAATCGAATGAGCTATCGCTCATATTTTTTGGACCTTTATCTCTATTTTTCACGTTTTTGAACTTGTTGATTAGACTGTAATAATCTAAGAGTATTGTGATTCAAATCATGAATTTTTTTCGGTCTCGGTAATAGCACATTCTATAGGCATTTGATCGGTGAATTCGAAACGGATGAAATCAACATCTAAAAAGCAATAATGTATTCATTGTGTTATTATTCATAATGATTTACATAACTCGTTATTGTGTGTGAATAACATGTTTGTCTTTCTCGGTCATGAGCCATCGCCTAGTCCTGTCTTACTTCAGATTTACGCCTTACTCCGACCTTGATATCCAACACTTCGTTTTGTATTAACTCGTCAAGAGTTGAAGAGGCAACCATGCGTTTCTTTTTACCTCACGATGAAAGAAAATCGTTCCCTTTCATACTTTCTCGTTACAGAGTTGATGGGGGTGATTTGTGTATTCTTCAAGATGTATACTAAATTCCTTCATCTGGAGGTAATGATATTTGAAAAATTGGGAACACTCGAAGTAATTTACTGTCTATATTTAACAGGCGATCATTATTTTTATAGTCCGTTCATAATTTGTCGATAGCACAAAATGAGGGCCCAAGTCATAAAACGGTCGTAAAACTCGTAAAATCATAGGCGGAGGTTCCTGAGGTGTTTATTCATTAAATATAAAGCTTCAGTTTATATTCGAAACTTGCCTTGAAAGGGTGAAGTTGTTACGAACGAAAATAATTTTTGGTTTAGTACATTTTTTAATCGCATTTAATTTACGGCTCGTTGGTGTTTCGGCGTCTACGGCAGTAATTAACGTCTCTAATATTTATTTTGCGAATTTTGTGCAGTG